CGCTGAGGCCCGCCGCGGCGACGAGCAGGATGCCACCAAGCGCATCTACCCCGGCGGCCCCTTCGACCCCGCGGGCCTGTCCAAGGGCAACCTGGAGGAGCTGAAGCTGAAGGAGGTCAAGAACGGCCGCCTCGCCATGGTGGCCTTCCTGGGCTTCGTCGCGCAGGTGCGTGGTTGCGTGTGTGGTTGTGTATATGTGTGTGTGTGTGTAAGAGAGTGTGTGTGTTTATGTAATAATGCATGAGTAAGCGTACGTCCGCGGAACAAGGCGTGTATACGCGTGTGCATTTTGCCAAGAACAGGCGGCGTGCCCTGTGGGTTGCGTTCTGCGCATGAGAGTCAACTTGGGCTGCCTCTCGTGCAAACCCTGGTGCCAATGCATGGGATCCTGGATGTGTCGGCTGACAAATTGGCCGCATCCCGCCATCCCTCCCCGCCCGCAGCACGCCGCCACCGGCAAGGCGCCCCTGGCCGCCCTCTCCGAGCACGTGTCGTCTCCGTGGGGCGCCAACTTCGCCACCAACGGTATGCATGGGCCGACTGTTTGCAATGAGCCGAAACATCTTGGTCCGCCTGACGACATGCCATGTTGCCTGGTTTGTCTGGCATTACGCTGCTGCGTGTGTGTGTGTGTGTGTTGGATATGTGCCAGTCCCTGTCCGCTGTAGCGTCTGCTGGCCTCTCACAATTATTCCTATCCCCCTTTGACTCACTTCTCCCGCAGGCGTGTCCCTCCCCTTCTAAACTTTGGTTGAGAGTGTGTTGAGTGGGCAAGGCCAGGAGTGTAATTCATGACTGATCCGCCTTCTGGCTCTGTATACCTGGTCATGTTGCCGCCTGCACCTGCACACACGGCGACCCCAGCTCTATGCAGGAAGCCATGCTTTGTATATGCAAGTGGACAAGCGTCCTAATCTAGCTGAAAGCATGGGTAACCATCGATATCTTTGCCATGAAGAGTGAAATGCACGCAGGCAGAGAGCCACGAATGGCAGCTGCCAACGGGAATCGCGCCTGAGAAGCAGCACGAATGGCAGTACATGGCACGCCAGCATGAACATTCCTTAGTGCAACTTGAATGATGAGTTGTCCTCACACCTCCCTGGGTGGGGCAGCAAGCCAACACAGACTCGAAACCCAGGCCTTGACCCTTCTTGCAGGCAGCCCAGCACCCAGGGTGCAAGCCCCTCACCACCCCGGCGCCCCCCGCTCCATATACACCTGTCCGTCATCATCCCCTGCTTGTGGCCTCCAGCTCATCTACTCACCATCCTCCCCGCTGCAGTTGCAGCCGCCAGTGGTCTTCAGCACCCGCCCCCGGTTGTCCCATGGCCCTCTCATGCCTGCCCAGCGGCTCGTGGAGCCCAGGCGGCAGCTTCCCCGCTGTGCGTTCGCGGCCCCGCTTTCGCAGGGCCCAGCTGAGCCGCCACCCAGGCGGCCTCGACCCCCCTTCCCACGACTCATGCTAGGACGCTCGCCCGCGGCACTGGCCTGCTGCCCCACAGCTCCTGCCCCTGAGAACGCAGCTCAAACACCCAGGGGCGCAGCAAGGACGCGGCTTGGGATAGGAGGGAGGGGGCGGAAGCGGGGGTCGCAAAACGACGCGAGGGGGTTACACTGCGTCGTCCAGCGCGCGTGGCCGGAAGCCCATCGCCCGCAGCCCCTCCACGTGCCCCTCCAGGCGCCACCGGAAGCACGGCCAGCTGCGGGCCTCGCGCGGGGACCTGCGTTTTGGGGGGGGGGAGGAGGGGTCATGGAGAGTGTCCCAAGGGTGAAGGTGAGGATATATGCCGTACGGTTTGGAGGGATGTGGGGCGCAAGCACTGCCGCCGCGTTGCTGGGGGTGCAGCAGCAGCAGCAACGGGGCGACC